TTAGGGTGAACCAAAAATTCGCGCATTTTTCTTCTTCTTATTATTATTATTATGTTATTTAATTTACTATATTTTATATTAATAATACATAATATATTTAATGCATGAACCAAAAATTGTGAAAAAAAATATAAGTAAAGTAATGATAAGACATTGTAAAAATAAATAATATATATAATATTTAATATTAATAATACATTTTTTGTATTAAATTAATATTTCCAAAGAGTAAATTTAAAAAAAAAAAAAAAGAACAATCCATTATGCAAGTTTTCAAAATATAAAATTTCAACAGAATAAAATCTACGAACTTTTGATTCACCTTAACGTTATTAAATCGAACTAAAGTTGCATGCTCGAAATCAAACTTTTGTTTATTCGTACGTTCGTTCATTCGTTCATTCGTTTGTTTGTTTGTTTGTATTCTATTAAAAGGAATGACACAGAAATAAAAAAAGAGAGAAAATAACCAATGAGGGAACACAATGAAAACGGTTTTAACGCACTATTCTAACGAATGACTGAGATCACACAGGTATATATATATAGATAAAAAGATAGATAGATAGATAAAAGAATCGAAAAAGTTTTCTTTTAAACAATCGAATCCTCCAAGCACTCACACGATGAGAACAAAAATTACGAACAAAGTAATAAGTAAGAAACGTACGCAATGTACCGGAACGTAACGCGTACTGTACCGGATACTGCAAGCTCGCGTCTATCACTGTCTTCTTCATCGTCTTTAAAGCTCGTCTTTTAGCTTGGCGAGCTTTTTGCTATTACGTGTGTTGTGTTTGTGACTTTCGAAATTTAACTTGAGAGAAAACCTCGTTCCCCTATTCTCTTTCGGTCGCTTCGCATCTAACACGGTCGAAGCTATTACTAACAAAAAAAAAAAAAAAAAAAAAAAAAAATAAAAAGAAACACACACACACACACACACACATACACCCTCATATACACACATAAATGTTATTACAGTTTTATTTATTATTTTATCAAACCAGAATATATATAAAACGAGAGATATGAAAACAAATAATGATCCTAAACGACGATCTAAAAGCAAAATTGAAACCACTTGAGAATTTCATTTCAACTATATATATATATATATCAATAATTTAATCTACATGATTCTCAAAAATAAACGATCAACATATTAATATTATTAATGATTCTATATTGTATTTAAAATTTATTAAACCACCAATTAATCTAATACTTTCAATCAATATTACATTACTCACATTTAATAACATATAAATAAATACATAAACAAAAAGGTATATTAAACGTAATCATCGTGGAAATGGATGAAAATTGTTGATATTTGAGAGGTAAAAGCTCGATGACGTCACTTTGGCAAACAGTACGTGATGTCATCGAATACGCAAAAAGGGTTATATGGGTGAGCAACGGGGCAGGTTGGTATGGTATCGTTTGAAAATAAAGGGAAGGGGAACGGGAAGAGGTGGAACGGGAAGAGGAGGAACATGGGGAGCTGGGGGTGGAGGGGGAAGTTTAGGGGGAGGTTAGAGCACATGCACGAGCAACGACTATTCTTGGCTGCTTCGGACACCTACTTCTCGTCTCCTCGTTCACCTCGCATTCGCATGGTTGCGTAATAAACGAAAAAGCTTTTCTGGAGGAGTCGCTCGCGAAATGGCCACTCGAAAAAGAAGAAGAAGAAGGAACAGAGAGAGAGAGAGAGAGAGAGAGAGAGAGAGGAGAAATTCTACGAGGAATTGAGAACTGAAAAATTCAAATCGATGTATAACCAAACGAAAATATGAAAAAAAAAACAGAAATTTATTAAATACGTTTTTCTAAAAAGTTTCACTAATAATTTAAACATTGTAATCATGTAATTAAACAAAATAAGAACAAGAATTTGTGTTATGTGTTTATTTAAGAGAAGGAAGAGGGAATCGAGATAATAATTTGTTTCTTTGGGAAACAAAATATTGGCACGAATTATTTGAACAATTTTGTGAATGCATTCATCTTATTACACGTTAAAATATTATTTATATTATATTAACCATCTCGTGAATTAGAAAAAAAAGGTCGACGTTCAGAATTTTCAATCTCTCTCTTTTTTCAAAAAATATTTACAAAAAAGAAAAGCAACGACAACGACAAATCATTCAATTATACAAAACACTAATAAAACTTATGTTCGAACAACCGGCAACACATTTTGTTCGTATCTTTGGAATCGTTTAAAAAATGAAAAAAAAGAAAAATATATTTACAATATCACGAAAGAGAAAGAAGATAATAATAAAAAAAAAGAAAAAAGAAGAATGAGTTGTGGATGAAAAAAAAAAGTGATTTAGATAAAAGTATCGGAATATTCGTAAGCAATATGAATTCATTCATTGGCTCTGCGGGAAGCTCGGTGTGCTTTCCTTTGGAAAGTCAAGTGGCCATCAACGTCACAAGAAAGTAAAAGAAAGAGGGAATGAGTGAAAGATAGAGAAGGAAAAGCAGATTTAGTTTGTTGTTTTAACAGAAGGCACCATCGACTTAAAACGCGTTCCCGCATCGTTTTGATGTTGCCGACACCTAAGGTGCCACCTGCAGGTGGTCGCCAACACAAACTAATTTAATTCGTTTAACATCTTTCATTCAGTTTCTTTCACACGTTAAAACCAACCCCCACCCTTATTCTCAATACTTCTTCTCTTTTCCTAACCCTTTTACTTCCATAAATTCAACATACACCCTTTTTTATTTTATTTTCTTGTTTTATCTTTCTCTATCAGTTTTCCCTTTATTGTCCGTTTGATTTTTCTTCAATTATTTTCTTTCTATTTTGTGTCCCATTTAATACACAAAATCGAAGAAGATTACACGTCGATAATTCTGCAAGAACCAATTGATACGAGATTACCTCTTTCTTTTCTTTTCTTTTCTTTTCTTTTCTTTTCTTTTCTTTTCTGGCTTGCTTGCTTGCTTGCTCGTTTTCTTTCTTTCTTTCTTTCTTTCTTTCTATGGAACCGTTGTAGCACGGAAACATGTTCCGTATCTTTTGTGTCTCGTTTACAGACTGTTTCCTTTAACGAAAGAACTATTGAGAAAAATATTTTCCTCAAAGTTTCAAACTATCAAATTAATATTTGTGTTTTCCTACAGTTTAATTAATACAAAGTTTAGATTTAGTTATATAAATAAATCAATATAATAGAAGAAATGTTTTCTTTTTTTTTTTTTTTTATTTAAAATGAGATGATATTCGAGATAATTTGAAAACTAACGAAGTTAGTTGTTCTTTTTCGTCTGTCGAAGTAAGTTTTATTTTTTATGCCAATATCTTTTATAAATAAATCTTACAATTAGAGAATAATATTAAAAAAAAAAATAGAACTATGTGATATTGAAACGATAAACAATATAAAAATGATTAATATTGAAATAAATTAAATTAATGTAAGACAAGTTACTAAGTTTTGGCTGAGGTCAGAAAAATCGAATGAAGTAAGTTGAGTTAAAGCAAGAATCCTCTCTTTTTCTTTCTCTTTCTCTTTTGAGCTATGACTATGATAAATTATACAGTAGTGACTATCGATCTTACCGCGCCTAAGGTCAGACACTACGGCAAAATCGAAAGCACAACCTCTGACTGCTGCTAAATCGTAGTCGAAGTTAATAAATTCAATTTTTCCACCCCTGGTATCTAAACAAAATAGATGCATTCTTATAATCATTAAACGAATGAAAATGTAAAAAAAGAAATATGAGAATGATCGAGGATTAAACTCGATTAAATTTGTACGTACGGTTGTATATAAACGAGCTTTTAATAATTTATTCATAGATTTTTTACGATTAAATCATAATAGAAAACTTTAATCGTGATATTATAATACGTATAATAAGATGAATTAAATGAATAAAAAAGAAAATGAAAAGATGAAAATAAAAAAAAAGGAATATTTATTATCGGTAAGATTTTTTATAGTTGTTAACGGTAATAAAAAAAGAAACATTGTTGACAATTGATTTATATGCCATTAAGTTTATCAATATTACCAAACGTTGAAGTGTGTGACCGATCTTTACGACTTCCAACAAACGACTGAAACGTTTCACGTTTTTCGTTAGTTTATTTCCATGCTATATTACCCGTCAACATAACCTATCATCTCTATCCCACTGTACTAACTTTCAACAGAAATATCTTTCAAACTTGAGGAGTTAGAAAATGTGTCGAGTTTTAATTAACGAATATCCACAATATGTCTCTTTCGTGTTTAAATTTATTCTAAAGAATTGGTCAAAAATGTTACTAAACAATTACTGGTGAAAAGAAAAATGGCGATTGAATTTGAGAAGGACCATAACCTACAAAAGTTATTTCAAGAGATATATTTATTGTTTGTAAAAGAAAAAAAAATACATATATGTAAATTATTAATATACAAATATATATTTAGTTATTTTATTTTAAAATAGTTTAATAACTTTGAAACCATCTTATACTTAAACTATACAATGTTTGAAAATGGATAAATCACCGTCCTTAGAAAATGGCTTTCTAAGAGTTTGCCAAAAGACGAATCAAACGAATTTCGTCGTATTACTAAAGAATTCGGGACGTCCGGTTTGAAATTTCATAGAAAGCTTTGTGAAAGCTTCTCGAGTAAGTTAAGCCAAAGGCGCCACGTATAATTTTGGCTCTAGATCGTGAAAATAAATCATAAGTTGGGATTAAACGGTTAAACAATTCTTCCTAGTAAGTAGTCTTCCGCTTTTCTTTATTATTTCGTAAGAAAAACAAAAAATTATGCGAAATTTGACGGATGTTTCCCGTTCGTTTTAGATTTTCCATTTGATTTTTATGATTCGTTATCTCTTTTTTTTCATAAATACAAATAATCTCGATGAAATTTAATTCATTACGAAATGTGATACGTGATCAACTTGAACACGAGTAATAGTAATACATAAAAAAACAAAAAAACGGATAAATAAATAAAAAAAGGACTCACCATCCTTTCTGTAATAGAGGATCTCGAAATGTTTCTCGACGCCTGCAACGAGAGCGTCCCGAAGTGCTGCGACCGCATGCGGGGACGTCATCGGCCCGTGAAGGAATTCGCAGACCGCCGGTCTTTGCATCACTTCCGCCCTGGAAAAACCTGTCAGCCGGCAAAAACCGTCCGAGCAATAGATTATGTGGCATAGTCCTTGCTGAGCGTTTGCCACTAAAAAACTTCGATCTGCAATCAAAACAAATACAACAATTTAAGACCAAATATACCAAACCAAAAAAATAACGAACAAAGACAAAAGGGTGGAACGATGAGATTTATTTATCGAAAAAAACCATAACTCTTATTTCATCTATCAATTTTTCACTTACCCCCCACGCCGTTTTTTCGACAAATTTAATTAAAAACGACCATCAAATAATCATAGATACAATCTATAGAAAAAAAACGTGACACTTATGATTTATAAATTTAAATATTACTAAGAAATTTAGTATTTTCTCTCGTCCAAAATTATAATTTTTGATGATAAAGGTTCATAGGGAACTTGGACATGAAAAGAAGTAGAACTTAATTAAATTAAATTAAAT